TATCAAAATAAATTCACTTGCACCGTGTAAACTATTGTTTTGTCGATGTTAAATGGAAATTCCTGGGTGCCATTTCTGCATGTACAGGAACATTTCTGACCTCGGTGTAGGGAAGATCACGTACGCGATATCCAGCAGCATTGTCGTGGCGTCGGGCGGCTTTTGGCGTCAGAAGCCCCGCCCGGTCAAGCCGCCAGACCCGACTGTTCCGCGGCCCGCTTGTTGCGTTCTGTCGCCCTTTCGGCCCTCGCCCCTCCTTCTGTTCTTTGCTTTCGTCCCAATCTCTGTACTTCTTTCTTCCAAGGTTTTTTTTTAGTAGGGACCCAGGCAACATTGTGTCGGACCCAGGCGGGTGAAGCTTGCCCGAGTCTTTGGCGATAGTAACTCGCCACAATCTTGGGATATTTCTGTGGCCGTATCCCCGCGACTGATCGCAAAAATCCACAATCTGCGATGTTTTTCGGTCAGTTTTTCTTGGTCCTTTCCTTGATTTGTAATCACCTTGGCACACATTGAAATGATACACTGTGTTTACCACTTTTTTTGACCCGCAACCAGCTACAAAACAATGAACCATGTACATAGCGCATAGGCTACGCGGGGTTGTAGGTACACCAAAATGGCGGATAACACCCGTCGCTAAGGTCGGGTCACGTGACTGAAACCCAAGAATACTATAGGTTACCCAGTAACGCTTAACTGAACGTTGCTCCTCCTTTTTTCCATTAACGAGGTTGGCACCCGGCCTATTTCCTCAAACTCAGAGGCGCTCCAACTCAATAATACTTATGTGATTCTAGATACGATCCGTAATTATCAATTCTACCTAGAAATTAGGAATATCTATCAAAACAGAGCCCCCCTCGTGGGTCGTCTCTGTCTCTAAATCCTGTGGGTCTGAAACTATGGTGTTGGCTCATCAGGGCCCATCACCCTTCACTCAACGGCGACTGGAGCTGACATCATATACCAGAAACCTTTGACCCAGTGTTAACGTCACACTTCAAAGAATTCACGTGACAGCCTCACTCTATTGAGGAAGACTAGAGTTACTGGTCAAAAGCTCTAGATAAGAGAACTTTATTGTGTTGGATCTAAAGTTTTAACTTCAAACATGTAACTACCAACACAAATGAACTTTCATGACGATTCGCATTATGCCTATGAAATGCATACAATGTTAACACAATCCAAATCTAAAGGGGAAAATCCAATTTATTCCCCTTTTTTCGTCTTGAATTTTGAAATCTTAAGACAACAAAATTTTGAAGGTGAAGCTTTTCAAACTGTAATAACAAAAATTAAAGACATTACAAAGTTCAGAAAGACCATCATAGTGGCTTAGATTTCTGGGGTTAGCGAGGGAACTTCCCTCGTGTGGCCAGGTACAAGTTATATTTTCTGTTTTAGCCAGCCACAATAGGAGGGAAATTCCCTCCTTTAACCGGTCACAACGGAAAGTTTCTGTCTTAGCCGACCAAGAGGAACTT